AGGCTGGGCCTGGTGTTGCTGGGCTTGCCCCAACCGAGCGGCAGGTGGCGCACGCTGAGGCTGTGGCCGCAGCTACACACGTGGTCTGCTGCCCCCGCGTGTCTGGCTACCGTGAAGAAATTGCATTTTAAAGACTCTTTGTTTAAGGTTATCATTTGCCTTCAACTTCATGGTCATCGTAAATGAGAAAATGCTTAACTAGTTCAAAATTCAAAAGACTTTAAAAAGATAAGAATTTTGGTAGTAGGATCCTTTAATTTTTTTAAATAAAAAACAAACAAAAAAAACCCTTAACTAGGGCCAGCCCAATATGGTGGTTAAGGCAGCTGGATCCCACACGGCCAGCAGCATGGTCCAAGTCCTGAGGACCCTGGGGACGGGGCTGGGTGTGGCCACCCCTTCCCCCTGCGGGTGCGCTCTCTCTCTCTGTCTCTCTGTGTGTCTCTCTCTGTCTGCCTCTCTCTCTATGTGTCTCTCTCTGTATCTCTCCCCCGCCCCAAGGTGAGCATACATGCCCTCTAGCAAATGTTAAAAAAAAGGAACTTTAACTGGAATTCTAACATATTATAAACATAGAAATGCTCACGAAAGCACTGGTAAGATCGGGATGGCTACCTTGTACGTTTCCGCGTGTGCTGTGTGAATGCAGGTGACCGCCACATGAACATGGGCCTGTCCCGTGGGCACCACAGTTTTGAGCAGAGCCGGACACACTGGACATGGGCCTGTCCCGTGGGCACCACAGTTTTGAGCAGAGCCGGACACACTGGTCAGATGTCCCTGACCCCAGTCTATCTTGCTCTCTGCGTTGGAAGCTGAGCGAGGTCCTCTGAGTGACAGACCCTGGGGCCACGCGGCCCTGCAGAGCGCCCTGTGAGGCCTGGCTGGGCCTCTGAGTGACAGACCCGCGCCACACAGACCCTGGGGTCCACGCGGCCCTGCAGAGCGCCCTGTGAGGCCTGCCTGGGCTGGCTCGGACCACCCCGTCCACGTGGGTGCGTGGGGTCATGTCTCCCCCCAGCGCCGTGCCCCATGGAGGGCGGGGTGGGCCAGTCACCCCGGGCACACCCGCCTCTCCTGCCATTCCTCACGGGTGACCTTCCAGTCACTCCAGCTGGAAACTCCAGGTCTGCCTGTCTGTCCATGACCCTCCTAGCAGCCTCTGCCCCAGGCTGTCCCCGTGCACCCTGCCGTGGCACCCCCTGTGTGTGTAGACCGTCTCTGATACCTGAATGTCTTTAATGAACACGTGCATGGAGTTCCTCATACAGGGTCTGCCAGGAGCTCGTGGGAGGTGCAAAATGAAAACCCGTGCGTGGATTTCAGCCATGTTTGCACCAAACACTGGAATGTCGTCTCCCTGGTGAACTCTGTAATCCTCCTGGACACTTGGAATTAACAAACAGCCTTGTCGGGTCCACACAGCCTGCATTTCCAGGTGGCATGTGGACCTCCCCTCTGCTCCGGCCTGGCGGTCACTTCCCTCTCGATGCCGCCCTGCTCTCCAGGGCCCCGGCCACTCGCTGTTCCCGACTCCTGGTCCCCGTGGCCGAGCGCCGGCGTGCTCTCCCTGATCTCTGCACCTCTCACTCCCTCACTCCTCTCCTGTCCCGTGGGGACCTCTGCTCCTCCACTGACGCTCTTTGGCTGGCTCCCCGGCTTCTGCCAGCCCACTACAGTACTGTACTGCATGCCCTAAGGACCGGGTGCTTCACCCCGGTGCCTGCTGGGGGCTCCACCCCGGTGCCGCCATGGGACAGGATGCCCCATGGGGCAGCTTCTGTTGTGTGCCAGAGTCAGACACGCGATAGCATTTGCTGAATAAGTGAAAGTTTTATTTATTTATTTATTTTTAGGCAACCAACAGAAAGGGGCAGGAGACGAATTACACTGCTGCAAAGTTTGTCATAGCGACGGGGGAGAGGCCGCGGTACCTGGGCATCCCAGGGGACAGAGAGCACTGCATCACCAGGTGAGCCACCGCCACCTCGCCCTTGGCAGCCAGACTCCCGCTCCCCGGGGCTCCTAGGCCATCTTACTCCACGGGAGGCGTGGACGGAAGGGAGGAGGGCAGGCGGCAGGCAGTGCGGGGCGGTAACAGCCAGGACAGAAATGGGCCATGTCTGAGGACCCTGCTTGGAGCGTCCGGGAGCGTGGCTCAGAGCTTCCCCAGGCCGGGCAAAGACACGGGATGTAGGCCTCGAGTGGGCGCCCGTGGGCATAGGTGACGGGGGCTGCGGGCAGGCAGGACACCTCGCGGGGCTTCTGCTGGTTGGAGGAGCCGCTGCATACCGCAGAGCAGGTGGCTCACGGAGGATGCGGCTTTTGCTGCACCATTGTCCAGGTGGACCTGCAAACACACACACACACAGCACATAGCACATAGCACGCACAGCCCACACACACAGAGCACACACACACAGCACACACACACAGAGCACACACAGCACACACAGCACACACACACAGCACGCACACACAGCACACACACCACACGCACATAGCACATAGCATGCACAGCCCACACACACAGAGCACACACACACAGCACACACACACAGAGCACACACAGCACACACAGCACACACACACAGCACGCACACACAGCACACACACCACACGCACATAGCACATAGCATGCACAGCCCACACACACAGAGCACACACACACAGCACACACACAGCACACACAGCACACACACAGCACACACACAGCACACAGCACACACACACAGCACACACACACAGAGCACACACAGCACACACAGCACACACACAAACACACAACACACAGAGCACACACACACCGCACACACACAGCACACACACAGCACACAGCACACACACACAGCACACACACACAGAGCACACACAGCACACACAGCACACACACAGCACACACACAAACACACATCACACCACACGCACATAGCACATAGCATGCACAGCCCACACACACAGAGCACACACACACAGCACACACACAGCACACACACACAGCACACACACACAGAGCACACACAGCACACACAGCACACACACACAGCACAACACACACAGCACACATCACACAGAGCACACACACAGTACACACACACACACAAACAGCACACACACAGCACACACACACACAGCACACACACACACAAACAGCATACACACACAGCACACATCACACAGAGCACACACACAGCACACACACACACACAAACAGCACACACACACACAGCACACATCACACAGAGCACACACACAGCACACACACACACACAGCACACACAGCACACATCACACAGAGCACACACACAACACACATCACACAGAGCACAGAGCACACACACAGCACACAGAGCACACACACAGAGCACACACACAGCACACAGAGCAAACACACACAGCACACACATAGCACACACACAGCACACACACAGCACACACATAGCGCACACACACAGCACACACATAGCGCACACACACAGCACACACATAGCGCACACACACAGCACACACATAGCGCACACACACAGCACACACATAGCGCACACACACAGCACACACATAGCGCACACACACAGCACACACATAGCGCACACACACAGCACACACATAGCGCACACACACAGCACACACATAGCGCACACACACAGCACACACATAGCGCACACACACAGCACACACATAGCGCACACACACAGCACACACATAGCGCACACACACAGCACACACATAGCGCACACACACAGCACACACATAGCGCACACACACAGCACACACATAGCGCACACACACAGCACACACATAGCGCACACACACAGCACACACATAGCGCACACACACAGCACACACATAGCGCACACACACAGCACACACACACACAGCACAGCACACACACAGCACACACATATACACAGCACACACACACATATCTCTAAAACAGTTACCCCCTCATCACATCAATATAGTCTCAAATTTCCTATCTACGTCTTTAATCTCTGTCTTTCCATGAGGCACACAGGCAGCCTCTGCGGGGTCCCACCCTGCGGACCTTTCCCGCCGTCCCGCCATCCGGGGTGACGGTGCGCTCTGCAGTCCCAGGCTGGCCCGGGAACAGAACCCGGGTCCTGAGCGGCCTCCAGCGTTACAGACCGCTGTGCTGCTGCCCGCCGGGGCTGGGCTGATTGTGCTGAACTGTTTGTGAACTTGGCCTGGGTCTGGCCCAGCTGTGAGGATTCCGAGGTGGTCCTCCTCCACGTCCTCCGCAGGTGGGGCTAAAGGCTGCTGCCTCGAATGTTTCTTGTCTGGTCTTTTTAAAATAAGCTCACCTTTCCACGGTTTTTCCTTACTGCTAGAGGACGCACACACTCAGAGAGCGCCCGTGGGGCTGGGCACGCAGGTCCTTATTCCCTCTCCCCGCGTCCGGTCAGGCTCTGGGGCTGGCCACATGCACACGCCCGGTTGATTCCCACTGCCGGGGCCAGGGTCAGGTTCTCCGCAGGCTCCGGCAAGCACAGCACGCGGCCGCTGTGCGGTGGGCGGCCTGCGTCTCCTCCTTGCCCAGATGCCGAGCCCCATGGCTGCCTGCCCGGCTGTCTTTCAGCGACGACCTGTTCTCCCTGCCCTACTGCCCCGGCCGGACGCTGGTGGTGGGCGCCTCCTACGTGGCTCTGGAGTGTGCGGGCTTCCTCGCGGGCGTGGGCTTGGACGTCACGGTGATGGTGCGCTCCATCCTCCTCCGTGGCTTCGACCGAGAGATGGCAGAGAAAGTGGGCGCCTACATGGAGCAGCACGGCGTGAGGTTCCTGAGGAAGTTCGTCCCCCTGGCGGTGAGTCTGCTGACACCGGGCCCTTCTGTTTCTTTCCTGCTCTCCTTAACGTTTCATTTCACCCCTCCTTACTCTGCCCCATTACGTAAGCTCGCTGTGCCCAGATGGCGTTCAGACAGGGTTGCTGCCTTGGCCCACCCTCTGCCGCTCCTCTGAGGTGCCCGTGCCCATCACAGGCTGTCCAGCCTAGTCGGCCGTCTTTGTCCCCACGTCCTGTCTGGCCAGCCGTCCTTGCCTCCCCTCCTGTGTGTCTGGGTCCCCATGTGTCTTTCTTCCCCTCTGTAAAAACGTCTATCTGCCTTTCTCTTTAGTGCCAGACGGGGGTGTGGCCAAGCGCCCCAAGGGCCTGGTCCTGCCACAGCCCTTCCCCTGCAGTCTCCATGGGGATCTGATGCGCACAGCTGCGTGTCTTCAGGCCACTGGGCCGGGCTAGAACCTGTGCTGGCCGCTCCACCCAGCACTCCCATTGCTCACGCCCTTCCCTCCCGGCCGGCTCAGCAGCTCCCACCTGCGCGTCCCTTTGCACTGCTCCCCTGTGTCAGTGGCTCCCGGCGGTGCTCTGTGCAGCCAGTGCCAACCCTGACCTTCGGCCTCTCAGCCCCAGGCCCAGGACTGTGGCCCAGCCCGTCCCACCACACACATGTCACATGGTCTTCTGCAGCCCTCGGTGGCTCTCACGTGGCCAGGCGCCTCTCCTGAGCTCAGCACTGGTTCACGCTCCGCCTGCTGATGGCCGCCAGGCCGCGGGCATCTCCCGTCTCGCGGGGCACGGGTGGAAGCAGTCTCTGTGTGCACATGCCTTGCCCAGTGTCCACGCGGCGGAGCCCATGCAGTTTAGAGAGCCCCGCCTGGGAGTCGCCCCTCCATTTCTCCCTCCAACTTCAGCGAGGCCACGGATTAGGTTCCGCGTCCAGAGCGCCCCTGGCGACAACCCTCCCAGCTGGAAACGGGCACGCAAGCACGCACAGGCCACACCCGTGCCCAGCATGTGCCCGCGCTTGCTCGGTTTTACTCGGTTGTTTCCTGTGGCCGTTAGGTGACATCATCACGTTTTTATCCTTACTAGATTCAGCAGTTGGAGAAAGGCTCCCCTGGAAAGCTAAAAGTGTTGGCCCAATCCACGGAAGGACCGGAGACTGTCGAGGACGTGTTCAACACCGTGAGTACCTGCCGTCGCTGCGGGGCGCGCTCGGGTGGGCTGGACGTGGCGTCGCCCCGGTTCTTCAGAGAAACATGCTTATGTTCCTTTTCTGTGTTCCCTGGCACCGTTTACGTAGTACTGGAATTGGTTCTCGGGGCCAGCAGTTAGTGTAATGGCTGCTGCTGGACTCCCACGTAATCGACTGCAGTTCGAGTCCCAGACCCAGAGGCTTGAACTCACGCCGGGCGCGTGTGCGTGCGTGCCCAGATCCCGAGTGGAGAGTGGAGAAGGATTGCGGCGTGGCCATCCCCCCGGGGGGTGATTTCTCGCTTTCTGTCTCTCTGGGGCTTGCACACACCCTATAGTAAAAGTTTCTCTTAAAAAAAAGAAGGAAGAATCGGTTCTGTGCGCTCGGTAGAAATCCCAGAAATAAACTTCTCAGCTTAGGACCGCCCACTGGGGATTTTTGATCACCGGCTCAGTCTCTGTTACGGCCACAGGACTTTTAAGGCTTTCTTGTTTTTTTTTTTTTTCTTGAGTTACTTTTCATTAGTTTCTTCCCCCCTAGGAGTTAACCTATTTCTTCTAAGTTTGTGAACGTACAAAACTATCCAGAACATCTAACTTTGCAAGTTACTAGTTTTTGTAACGAGGGATGACTGATAGCGGAGGCCTGGTCTTAGACGCGCAGGTCCGTGGTCCCCCTTTAAAAGGGACTGGCCACCTCTGTACAGGACGCTGAGTACGCCTTCCTGCCCCTCACCCCAGGACAGTGGCTGCTGTCCTGGCTCTGTCACTCTAGATAGCTGGGCCAGCTCCGGATTCCACGTCCATGGGCTTGTCTGAGCCACTCGGTCTCCGGCTGCTGGCCCGTCTCCGTTGTGTTTTCGTGTCTGGGCGTGCAACCCACCGTGCACCCAGCTCACGGATGCGCAGGCTGGGCTCGCGGTTCTCCCTTCCGTTTGGGTGTCCGAGAGACTCCCGGCTCTGGCTGAGGTGCTCTAGCGTCCGTGTGGAGGCCGTGGCCGTGGGCCTGTCTTCCGCACTCTGTCCTCTGCCCGCCCTCTGAGCTCTGAGTCCGGATAGCGGAGCTTTACCGGTGTGCAGGTCAGGTGGAGGAGCCCGAGCTCTCTGTATTCTTGCTCTTATTTTCTATCACGGGGCAGGGACGTGTGCACGCCCAGGGTCACCTCCCGGCCGTCCCGGCATTGCCCCTCGCGTTTCTATGCACACTTTGAAAGCAGTTTCTCACTTCCTGAAAAGGTCTAAGTCTGCCTGGATTTGATGGGGTTGTATTTACTCTATGACCAGTTTGGAAGAGATGATATCATTTTGCTGTTGTTTTAAATTGTCAAGGCCGTGTGTGCCCACTGGGCAGAGACAGACCAAGGTGGGGAGAGGCTCCCCCGGAGGGCCAAGGCCACATTGCAGCCGCAGCAGCTGTCTCTGCTGCCAGTCGTCGGGTGCACACGCACACGCACCCGGCACATTTGTTCGCTTGTTTCAAGCCACGGGGCTGGGGCGAGCCGGCGGTCGGCGCAGGTGTCTGTCTCCCATGCCCGCCAGGGCCAGGCCAGCCCAGGGCAGCTTGCTCCGAGCCCTGGCGCACGGAGGTTCCGGTTTGGAACGAGTGTTGGATTTTGTCCAGCGCTCCTCCTGCATCCGCGGAGCTGACAAAGTCGTCTCCTCTCTGAGCATGGCGACCGACTCGGGCAGACCACTGTGCTCCGAGGTGTGTCGGGCACGCGCCCTTCCCGCCGACGTCCCGGTCTGGCTCAGGCGCTGGTGGGCGTGCTGGCCTCTTCCCCTGGAAGAGCTGGCGTGCCATCGGTAGGGTCCACGCTTCGGTGGGCTTAGACCTGACCAGAGGAGCCGGCTGGTCAGTCGCGGCTGACTCTGTGATGCGGCTAGGTGCACACGCGTGCCAGGGCTGCTGGCACCAGCTCCCGGGGCCGGTAGTGTGAGGCCAGGGCCGCTCTCCGTCCCCGTGTCCCCAGCGGCTGCCCCTCTGTGCGTGTCCGTGTCTCTCCTCTTCTCACAGGGATGCCATTCTCACTGGCTTCGGGCCACCACACGGCCTGAACGCAGCATCATTGCCTCGTTAAAGGCCCTGTCCCCAGGTGCGGTCGGGTGCAAATTCTCAGGGTTAGGGTTCACCACGTGGGTTGGGAAGGAGCGCAGCTGAGCACGTGCCATTGGCCGGCTTGGCTTTGGTCGGCTCGAGACGTTTGAGATCTGTGCCTTGCGCGGGGCGTGCCGACGTTCCACGCAGCTGCCGAGGCTGTCGGCGTGGGGAGCTGAGCTTACCCTGCAGGTCGAGCACCCTCACCAGATGAGCTTGGGACCACAGGTTTTGGATTTGGTGTTTCTCTTTTTGGATTTTGGCGTCCTTGCACACACACAATGGAGCGTCCTGGGGTGAGAGTGGGTCTGAGTACGCAGCCCCTCTGCCCCTCGTGTCCCCTGCTCGGAGGCGACGTTCTATGGCATGTTCGTGTTGCAGTGTTTAACGGTGACCTGTCACAGAAGATCAAGTGTGGCACTTTCCACTTGTGGCAAAGTGGTGTTGTCACCTACGAAATGTCGGAGTTTGGAACACTTAGGACTTTGGACTTTGAGGTCAGCCCACATGTACTGTTTAATGACCGGAGGGCCCGTAGCAATGTTCTCGCTTGCCCAACAGGGATGACATGTCTGCTCTCTCCACGCAGGTCCTGCTAGCAGTCGGCCGCGACTCCTGCACAAAGAATATGGGCTTGGAGAAGATCGGGGTCGAGGTCAGCCAGACGTGAGTGTGGGCCGGGGCGGCCGGCGAGGGCGAGGGGGGACGGGGCGGCCCGGACAGAGTGTGGGCGAGTGTGGGCCTGGGGGGCCGGAGAGAGTGTGGGCGAGTGTGGGCCCGGGTGGCTGGAGAGAGTGTGGGCGAGGGCGGGCCGGGGCG